GGTTTAGCAGTATTCCTCTCGCAGAAGACCTTTTCAATAACCATAATTTGACCATGGTTGAAACATTACGTAAGAATAAGAGAGAAATACCACCAATTTTTGTTCAAAAACTCAAAGAGTGGCCGATTGAAAGTAGTATTTTTGGTTTCCAAAAAAACATGACTTTAGTGTCATATAAACCTAAAGCTAATAAAATTGTTTTAGTTATATCAACTATGCATAATGATGATAGCATTGATACTGACTGTGCTAGATCAAAGCCTGAAATGATTAAATTTTATAACTCGACCAAAGGGGGAGTCGACACTGTTGACCAAATGAAAAGAAAGTATTCCGTCTCAAGAAACAGCCGGCGTTGGCCATTGACAATATTTTTTTCTTTTCTAAATATTGCGGGCATAAATAGCCAAATTATTTATGCTAGTAACACTAATGCAAAAATTGTTCGCAGAGAATATTTAAAATGTCTTTCAAAAGCATTAGTTTATAATTATATGTTGGAAAGAGTACAGATAAAAAACATTCCAATGAATATAAAAGTTCGAATACGTGAAATCACAAATGCTACAGAGGAACCAGTACAAAAGACGTCAAATGCTCCTGGAAGATGTACATTTTGTAATTGGAAAAAAAACCGAAAAACATCAAATTTGTGTAACGAGTGCCAATTATGTAAATATATATGTAAAGAACATACAGCGCCTTCGATTTGCCAAAATTGTTCACAACGAACGATGGAAGATGATTTTTTTTAGAATAAAATATTTTATATTATTAATAACCTAATTTAATAAAATTTATATGGAAGTTTAATTTTTTTTATATTATGTATCAATTAAATCATTTGACAATATTTCTTTATTTAAAAAATAAAATCAATAAAATAATTATAATTTCAATTTATCGAGTTTTAATTTAAATATTTCAATACACGGTCAAAAACACCGTGTGCGTGGAATCTCGTGAATATTTTTAATGCGTGTAATCTAGGGTTAAAGCAATGGGTGAATAAAATACTCTAAATACTTGACTGAGAAGGCCATAACTACTTTCTGCGGTTTTTCAAGTTCTCGACAAGCGATAATTGAAAATGGTTTATTCGTAATTTTTTCGGGCTTCTCCATGTGTGTATGATTGCATTATGTATGTCTCCAAACGAAACGCCAACATATGGTGACGTTTGATTTGAAGAAGAAAATTTCGTGTTAGGAAGAAAGTATTTTCTCTGTTTAATTAATTTAAATAAACTTGATTTTGAAAATATTCCACTGTCACCTTCTTTATCACATGAATCAATATCGACGTAAATAAATTTGTAGTCTTTGTAGTTAAAAAAATATAAACCATTTTTTCTTGGACAAAATAAACGAATGTATTTCCCATCGATTGATCCAACACAATTTGGGAAATTTCATTTTTCCCAAAAGTCCCGTGCGATTTGAATAATCGAAAAAATTTGATGGAGGTTTTAATAAAATACTAGGCAACCGTAAACTTATACTTTTCTAGACCAACTGTATGATACGAGTTATATAACTCTGAGATAATCGAAATGCGAATGCTAATGATCGCAATGATTCTCTTGTAGCCAGGTATGTATCTGTAAAAAAAAGTATATTTTGGATATACTATGAATGACTGTCAGGTACATAATGAATCTGAATTTATTTTATAGATGCCTCCTTTTTTTTTTTTTTTTAAATAATAACAATTAATTAATATAATTCTGAACTGAGACGTTTTTGTCTAGTGGATATTTTATATTATATTCATTTTGTTTTATGGTAATCGATAAGTTGAATTAATATTATATAATTACAACATAAATAGTTATTCTTGGTTATTAAATATGTAATTTCGTCCAAATTTGACCATAAAACTATTAAAAAAAATTGCGTGTTTATATTTTTGAGATTATTTGGTTACTGAATAACATACTAATGTGGAATCTTGTTTTACATATTCAATTCTTAGCTATAAAATTTGAATATTTCATCAATTAACTACAAAATCATTTTTAAATTTTAAATTTGATAATTGTCAAAAATCGAACTTTACATGCTTATAAAAAAAATTGTGCCTATATATTTTTAATATTTTTCAATTTCTATATTGTTACAATATATCAGGAGCCTTGTATTAAATTTTCAAGCTTTTTGACCTAACAAATAAAACTAAATAAATTGTAAACCGAGTATGTCCATAAACAGCTCAAAACGATTCAAAATATTTTAAAAATTTTATTGACTGTAGGAATCGATAAAATAAACGTATGATATAATTTTCACAGACATTTTAATTTCGCATTTGGATGAAATTTCATATTAAAACCAAAAATAATGATTTTGTATGTTTTTTTGTTGAAATTTAAAAATATTATTCGTGAATACATGAAACTTTTAGAGTATCTATATTATTATATTTTATACACATAGTGAGATTTTCAGCAAAGGTAATTTTTTTTAGCAATAATGAATTTAACCTATTTTTTTTTTTTATTGATCTAATAAAATGCCCGACAACTATGGTCATTAGCTACAAATATGAAATATACAATAGTTATTTACAATTTTTAGGTATTCTTATATATACATTGAGAGTTAACATTGAAATTACAGAATAGGTGAGGTTACATAGTGTAAAGTCAGGTTATATGTTATTATATTAAATTGTAAAGGCCTGTCAATTTCAGAAATTTTATCATCTTGAAGTTTTCTTCGGTGTTGGGTCCCAGTGCGGTGTCAAGTGATGAGTCTAGTCCGATGATTTGACGATCGCGTTGGAATTTTAGGCATTCAGTTATGATGTGTTTTACTGTTAGTTGGACACCGCAGACTTCACACGAGGGTGGTTCTTCCTTTGCCATTAGGTACCCGTGTGTAAGTCGCGTGTGTCCAATTCTCAATCGGTTTAGAACCGATTCTTCATTTCTTTTTAAAGAATTGTTAATCCACCTGTTGGTACATCTTTTTATAGTGTTGAGTTTGGTATTTTGCTGTTTCCAAGTATTGAGCCATTTGGTATTGGTTATGTGACTTATGTGCCTTTTGAGGTCGTTTAAGAAGGACCTGCTATATTTGCTATTTTGGGATTTATGGCAGCGATCTTGGCCTGTTTATCGGCTAGTTCGTTTCCTTCTATTCCGGAGTGCCCGGGGACCCATATGAGGATTATTTGTTTATTTTTGGATAAGGCTTCATTCAGATTGTTCAGTATTTTTGTAGCGATGTCACCGGGTTTGAACTGGTTTTTAATACTGTAGAGTGTATAACACTGAGTATTATATGCTTGGGATATTCATCGTCTATAACTGATTTGATCGCCTCTAGTATCGCTATGGCCTCGGCCGTGTATATAGAGCATGTGTTAGGTAACTTCATTAATATGTTTTTGCTTTTGAGTATTATTGAGATTCCTACTTGGTCCTGTGTTTTGGACGCGTCGGTGTATACTTCTTGATATTCCTTATAATTTTCTATTATACTTGGGAAGTATCTTTTAAACATTTCTGGGAACGTTTGTGTTTTTAAGAATGCACTGAGGTCGGTATTTATCTCGTATGGAGAAGTCCACGGAGGTGTGGACAGTTGTTCTCTTACAATTAGTTGCTTGAGATCAATGCCGTATTTTTCTAATTCATCATATGATTCGCTGTCTTCAAGTGGTGGGTTAGTATTGTTTGATCTATAGTATCTAGTTATATATTTAAGTGATAAGTCTTTTCTTTTAATCTCTGGTATGGGCTCGCCGGCTGTATTGTAGGTACTATAAATTGGGCTGCAGCGGAATGCGCCTATTGCTAGCCTGAGCCCGGTGTTGTTTGTGCTGTCTATTTTTTTAAGAATAGATTGTGATGCCGATTTGTATATATTTGAACCATAGTGTATTTTCGATTGGATAATTGATTTGTGAATTTTGATTAGTGTTCTAGATTTGCCTCCCCAGGATGTGTGTGAAAGTATTTTTAGAATATTTAATGATTGACTGGTTGAAGATTTAAGATAGTGTATATGTGTTTTCCATGCACGTCGGCAGTCGAAGAAGATACCTAGTATTTTTACTGATTTTTTAATGGGGATTTGCTTGTTATTGATTGTAATTAGAAGTTCACCAACTTTTCTCTTTTTAGTGAATATTATGAGGTTTGATTTTATTGGTGCGAATTTAAAACCTGTGTTTCTTGCCCATTCAACTAAATTATCAGTGGTTGTTTGGAGGTGTTTTCGTACTGAGCTTATATTGTTGCTGCGACATGAATAACTAAAGTCGTCGGCAAATAGATTGCATTTTGTGGGTAGCGAACAGCTTTGGGTGATATCGTCTATGGCTAAGAGAAATAGAGTAACAGATAATGCCGAACCCTGTGGTACTACGTTTTCTTGGGTAAATTCTTTGGATAAATGACCGTTTGCTTTAACCTTGAATCTGCGATCTTTTAAGAAGTCAGTTATTAAATCGAGTGTCTTTCCTTGGCATAATATTTGGTTTAGTTTGACTATGATGTTATGTCTCCATGTACAGTCGTATGCTTTTGAGATTTCGAGGTTGACTAGCCCCATTATTTGTTTTTTTTTTAAAAGTCTGGTTTATTTCATGGTTAATTTGAGTTAGGTTATCGATTGTGTTTTTGTTTTTTCTAAAGCCGTATTCATGTTTGGCTAAGTATTTATGTTTTTCTAGTATCCAAGTAAGTCTATAGTTAATGACTTTTTCCAATATTTTACACAAGGTGTTTATTATTATTATTATTATTATTATTATTATTTTATTATAATCAACGCCGGACGGCTTTTACAAAATTACAGACAAGAAGTACATAGATAACAATAAAAAAAAAACATATACAATATATATAAGACGCGTAACTTATACTAATTTATATTAGAGAGAAGAAAAAGAATTAGTAAGTAAGTAAAACCAAAAAAAAAACAACATGGTGTAAGTTATGTGAAAATGAAAAAATAAAAATAAAAAATGTGAGCCTTCGTACTTCATGTGGCTTAGTAGTCTATATGATTATTTGCATTATGCATCATCCTTATAAGTGGGGCATTCCTGGAGAAGTTCGATTTATTGGTGGGTATATAAAAATTACACTGAAGCCTAGTGTTACTAGGAATACGAAAGCTAAGTTCTCCAAGTAGTCTTGGGGCATCAACTTGACCTTCGATCAGACGCTGAATAAAAGTGATATCAAAATTATCACGCCTTACAGAAAGGGGAATTAGTCTCAGAACTTGGCTTACTGGCCCATAATCATGTGGCGGATGAGGAATGTTGAGGCAATAACCGGTGAAACGCATAAAACTGTTTTGTACACGATCAATCCGAGAAAAGTCAACTGTGGTATATGGTGACCAAACAATAGACCCATATTCAATGACCGAACGGACTAAAGCATTATAAAGAGCTAGAAAGCAGTCGGCAGAACTAAAATTAGTAGAGTGACGCCTTATGAATCCCAAAGCACGAAAGGCTTTGCTGGTCATATAATCAATATGAGGGCTAAAATTAAGAGAAGGTACAAATAAAATGCCTAAATCATGGACCTGGCTAACACGTTGAATAGATATACCATCAAGTCTATAGTCAAAAGATATCACTGCCTTAGAGCGATAGTAAGTCATGACTTTACATTTAGAGATATTAAGAGATAAATTAAACGTACTACACCAATTGGTGAATTTATCAAGGGTGTTCTGGAGAGTGAGGCAATCATTATTTGAGGTAATCGTGTGAAAAATTTTAGAATCATCAGCAAAAAGTAGGAGACGACAAGGGGAAACAACTGAGCACATAGTATTAATGAAAATATTAAATAATAAGGGACCTAAATGGCTACCTTGTGGAACACCGGACGATGCACAGAAGAGATCAGATGTCTTCCCGAAGAGGTTGACAAATTGTTGACGGTCACTAAGGTAAGATCTAAACCATGATAAAAGTGGCTCACCAACACCAAGTCTGTCGAGGATATAAAGAAGTGCATTGTGGTCTATGGAGTCGAACGTTTTAGAAAAGTCAGTATATATCACATCAACTTGATTACCTAATTCAAACGCCGCATGAAGGTAAGAAGCAAAAACTACATGACTAGTCGCAGTCGAGCGACCTGGAAAGAACCCATGTTGGTCAATTGATAAGGTGGTTAAGAAACAACGTTCGATTCGTTTCAGTACTATAGACTCAAACAGTTTAACCAGGAGAGGAAGGCCGGAGATGGGTCTATAGTTAGCGACATCAGCCGGATTCCCAGATTTGAAAATTGGCGTAACACGATTTATTTTCCACAAAGAGGGGAAAACACCTTCTGTAAGTGATTTATTAAAAATTAAAGTGACCGGTAAACTGAGAGAGGCACGGCAGTGATACAAAAGGTTAGCAGAAATGCCATCCGGACCAGAACTATGAACCTTTGAAAGAGAGTTAAGCGCTGTATTAACTTCATCAATCGATATAGATAATTTAGAAGGGAGGTGTGAAAATTGGTTGTTTGTAAACTCTCATCGGATAAATCATTGCAGGTAAATCGTGAGTCACTATAAACAGATGAGAAATGAGAAGCAAACAAAGAAGCAACTTGGTCACTGGAGGCCTTAGACTTCCCAAGATGAACCTCATCTGGTATTGTAGAGACACCACGTTTACTACGAACAAATTTCCAAAATGATTTAGGATCTACACATAGACGATTCTGTATGTTACGCAAATAGTGACTATAGAGACACCTCGATTCAAATTTACATTGGGCGCGTAGTTGAGAGAAGATTGAATAACGATTAAGACCACCTAACATTTTATATTGTTTATGCGATTGTTTTTTCATAGCGAGAAGTTTCTTAAGCTTACTTGAGACCCATATAGGAAAAGTAGAGTTCCGAAAATTTCGTAATGGAACGCATTCACGAATACAATCGAGCAGTGTTTTCTGTAAAAAATCAACAGAAAGGTCAGCGGATTTTGTATCTAAGGCGTTGCACCAATCAGTGATCTCAAGTCTATGAATAATCCTCTCATAGTTAGCATTTTTGAAATCATAATATGTGTGTTGAGCGTCAAGCATAGGAAGGGCTGAAGGAACGGGACAGGAAATAGACAGTGCTGGGTGGTAAATGTCACATGGAACTAATAAATCTGTGGCCTGCTGGACTATGGTGGATTCATAACTAGAGAAAATTAGGTCAAGAAGAGATCCAGAGTTATTGGGAATTTGGTTCTTCTGGACGAAGTGAAGGAAACTAAACTGATCGCCTACAAGACGGACCTTATCAGTTATATTACCTGTATAGACAAGATCCGAACCACAGATGGACCACTCAACATTGGGCAAATTGTAGTCACCACATACTAAACCAAGATCAAAATTATAAGATCTCCATACCTGGTCTAAGGCCTCAGCATGACTCTCATACACAAACAAATTTGTACCAGGAGGTAAATATACTCCAGCTAAAAATACTGAGAGACCACCGGCTAGAGTGAGGAGAACAAAAACTTGCTCACAAGTGTCGAATGAAGTCGTAATTAAGGTTGGTCTTAGCTCTTTCTTGACAGCAATTAATGAACCTCCTCCTCAACGACAGTTACTTGTGCGTACATTTCTGTCACACCTAAAGATTAAATACCCATCAAAATATAATTCAGAATTAGAGATGTCATCCGAAAGCCAAGTCTCAGTAAGAATATAAGCATCATAAGATAATAAAATAAAATTAGTTCGGAGATTAAACAATTTACTACGAAGGCCACGCACATTTTGGTAGTAAATTTTAAAACAATGATCAATATTAGGCATAACATTAAAATTATTAAACTTATGGTAGGGTATAGAAGAAAAGTTAGTTTTAATATTATTTAATTTAGATAAAAATGAGTTAAAGGTAGAATGAGAAAAACGACAAAAGGTACAAGAAATATTATTTTTACAAAAAACATGCAAACCAGAGTTGAAATCCGGAACTAATGCAAATGCTGAGTGGAACTCGGTCGATGATTGCTTCCTCCTCTGGGGTTCATGTTTTTTGGACCGGTTTTAATCACAGAAGGTACACCATTGACATATGAAATAGTAAAATCTGAAGAGCCACTTTCGATTTTACGTTGAAGATCGGAATGAGCTTTACGCAAAATTTCCCGTTCTAGCGTGGTTTTGTCCCGAATAATTCGAAAACCAGGTTCTGGTAGTAATCCATTCCGCGTTTGTGAATTAAAATTTAAAATAAGATGAGAAGCATCGGCCTTGGATTGGCAGATTATCTTCAAAGGTCTCGGTTTATTCGCTTTACTATTCCCTAGGCGTATTAGTTTAAGATTGGTTGGTACAGGTATAGTAATTTTATCAAGAAGATTGCTAAGTGTACGAAGATCATCATTAAATCTTAAAGCAGCGGTGTTGGCAGCGGACTCAGGCACTCCATATGCAATTGCATTAAATTCGATTTTGCTTCGTTCAGTAGATTCACGAAATATCACAGAAGACGAATCGACAGAGAGGACCGGACGTGATTCCAAGACATCAATTCTTGAACGGAGCACACCAATTTCAGCCCGGAAAGAAGCATTTTCAGTAACCAGATCTGATATTTGGGAAGTGAGTGTCGAAATGCTACTTTTAAGTTCACTAAATTGCGACGATTGAGAAGTAGAAAGCGAATTGATTGCCTTCATAATGTCAGAGGTAGAAGGAGATTTCTGAGCCTGTGCACGAGTATTTGAAGCCACGGGTGTAAGAGGCATAATTTGATGCAAGAGTATTGAAAAAAGAAATATATAAAAATGCTTAAAGATAGCTCCTTAAGACAAGAGAATACGACACAAAGTACAGTAATGTATTACAGCACGCAAGTTAAACCGGAGTTGAAACACAGGTGGATAATGAAAAAGCCCAGCGTTAAAGTCACCAAAAAACAGCTGACTGGTTTGTTGATAAGATGGTAGATGACAAGTTTGGGATGCCAAGTGATAAGAACGTACCTGATGTACACAAGCTGGCAGATGCAGTTTCTTTTGCACGATTCTTCTTCAAGTTAATCTATCGAGATGAAGCTTGAAAACATGTGTAGGTGGAAAAAGCACAAAGACGAAACGAATAAAAGCGAACGCAAAAAAAAGAGGTACTTACAAATGAGAAAAAAAATAAAAAAACTGGTAAGAGCAAGTGTTATCACTGTTATCTATATGATAACAGTTAGTTTAGGAGCGTTATTGGTCTGTATCCATCGGACTTAAACTTATCTTTTTCAGGTTTTGGAATTGGTATAACCGTACCATTTTTCCATGTACTTGGCCAAAAGCCTTCAGTGAAGATTCTGTTGAATATCGTTAAAGTTAATTTTAGGGAGTTTGGCCCGAAGTTTTGTATAAAAATGTACGGTATGCTATCAGGGCCGGGGCTATGGCTTTTGCATTTTGTTAGAGTGAATATAATTTCTTGCATAGTGATTGGTAGGTTTAATTGGATTTGGTCTATTTGGTTTTGATCTAAAGTGTTTGGAATAGTTTCTTTTTCGCGTTTATGTTTGTAAGTTTGAAATTGTGTCGTATAATTGGTATTACTGCTATTTTGAGAGAAATATTCCCCCAATTGGTTTGCTACTAGTTCTTCGTTAATTAGTGTGTCGGTGTTCATATTAATCAGATTGATTTTTCTATTTCTATTTAGTCCTTTAAGGGATTGGATTTTATTCCATACTATTTTCGTGTCGGTTTTTTCATTTATGCTGTTTGTGAAATTTTTCCAAGATGTCTTCTTGCTGGATTTTATCAAATATCTGGTTTTTGCTCTATGTTTTTTAGTTCTATGAGGTCTTCTTGGGTTTTTGAGAGTTTTAATTGTTTTATTTAACCTATTATAATAGATACTAATGCCTAATACTAAAATTAATTACTTTAATCACAATAATTTCATCAAATATATTTATAGTAATACCTAATATTTTAATAGCCAGATAGACTGTCTTCGCTCAGAATCGTTTTTCGTATACAATGATATTATATCATTGAATTCAAATTTAATACCATCTATTACAGTAACCTACTTGCAACCTAATGTATAGCAGTGCGAAATCCACTTAACCGCTTTTTTTATTTCTATACAGTTGACGATTGTAAAAAGTGTTGGCGAAACATAAAAGATACATATGATAGGCAAAAAAGAAGCAGGCAGATGGGTACAGGATCAGCTGCTAAAAATAAGCCTTCTAAGTGGCAGCTTGATGATATTATATTTTTTCTTGACATGGTAGTTTGTTTACGAAAGACAGTTAGATATTTTTTCAGCAAACTCATAGCTATTAGGAATAAAATGTTTTGTTTTCAGTAGTATGTCAAATTTATCAGCTGAAAACATTGATGATGAAAACAACCAGAGTTATGTGGCAGATAAATTAGAAACATTCGATGATAGTATGCTATCTAAACAAAATTACTAGGCAAATGAACCAAATCAATCGTGTTTGACCGTCGAACCAAAAACCACTCAACATAAACATAAACTTTCCACTGATTCAAAAAAAATATGAAACAAAGCAATGCCTTGGTGGAAATTTTAAACAAAAGAAGCGACGAAAAGAAAAAGTTGATGGATGAACTTACAATTATTGAAGATGACAATCCAATTGATGTTTTTGTTTTGTTGGTACACTTCGAAAAAATATAAATAGTTCTTTATCTTTCATTATTCATAATTTTTTTGATTTAGGCAATTTTTTTAAAAATTTTTCTTATGGTAATGGCAAATGAAATGTTCTATCAACAATTTTTTTATTTAACATTCTATGAGGTTTATTTTGACTCGATACTATACCCATTTTAGTTACAATTTGATATGTTTTTTCTCTTTGAATTAATAATTTTTAAAAATCATTAAGATTTATTTTTTAATTTAGTGTCGTCGGTATAAACGAATTATTGAGTAAAGAAGTAGGCGGCAACTCATTTTTTCAAAAATATTTTAGGCAATAAGTACAAATGTACTTGCATGGAAAACTATTTTCCTTGACACATTGAATTTGAGATTTGAAACTTCCTTGTAAAGGATTTCTAAATTTTATTATTGTATGTAAACCTCTATTAAACATAAATTTTTTACACGAAATGCAGAATTCACTAAAAATGTTTAATGAACTTTTTTTCATCGCTTGATTCGCTGTTTTGTACTCACTTATTATTTTGTCTTGGTTTTTACATTGTTTTCTGTGTATTACGAAGGTATTACCTTTTGCTTTATACTGATCGACATATTTGTGTAATCAATCTATATCAGAATTTGTTAAACCATTTTTAATGTTGTTAATACGTGCATTAATACTTTTTATATTATAAATTAGTTTTTGTATGGTTCTCAAAAATGAATAGTGAGGCGATATATTGTTAATAAATAATAAATCTGTCGGATCAAAATTAATAGTGTAGCAAGAAAAGGGATGCCTCATGCTGTTTTATAATGTTGACAGTAACATATGTCCATTGATACGACGTATTTCAAATACATATATATATATATATATATATATATATATATATAGATGAAGATTTAATTTTACGATAAATAACATTTATACAACGCCACAATTTATTGTAATCATTTTCGTTACAACATTTTGGATTACATAACCACAAATTATTGTTTATATTTCAGGATTTAAATTACTTATTCCATTTTCGTCTATTGTAATAGCTTATTTGTTGTTTGTATTTTGTATATATGTGGGTTCAAAATAGTATGATTCTCTACCTACTGCTTGTATGTAATGATTATAGATCGGATTTTTATGTTTTTACTGAACGTATGCATTTGGATACGTTTTCTGGACGATTCATTTACCTATGAACTGATATACAAAAGTTTTTAGGGCATAAAAAAGAATGTTTTGAGGTTAAAGAATATTTTATAAAAAAATCTAATGGTTTATAAAAAATCCCAAATTTTTTTTATTATAATATATTATTTATCTTGACGAAAGGAATATTGATAAGAACTTATCATTGATAAGAAAGTAAATTAAAAATTATTATTCTCTATACGAGAATTATTATTATTATTATTCTCATATATTCTTTTATACTATTTTTATAGACGAACTATGATAAAAGTTCCCGCGTTTTACGGGGGTAGCATTTATCGTGTTCTACACACTTCACATTGTCCTATGCTTCTGCGCATGTGCGTAGACTACGCTAACTTCTCTATCTGTGATATACTGATATCACGAATTACAGAATACAGATATCAAATAATCTTTACAAATTTATTAATCATTTTAATTATTGTTAAGTCTTAACACGTTCACGACAACGAACATTTAGGCATAGGATAAAGTATTGCGTATTTAAAAAGTATATATATCTCATAAATAGTCGTAAATTTTTTTTTTTTTTCGTATATAATCTGTATAGATTTAAATATAATATTCCTGTTGAAATAAATATTTTGTCGTATTTATTTTATTGGTTTTGTTCGTGTATCACCAGTGACACACGACGGCTATATTTCAACCAATTCTATAAATAGTCGGGTGCGTCATTTGTGGCACACGTGATTCGTCCGTAATCGACGTTATCGAAAAAGATAATCGACCAAAATCGATTCTAATTTATTGATTTCCGTGCTAATTGCACAGCAAACAATTACTTGTGTGTGGTTGATAATTGTGTTTTGTTCGTGTAATAAATTTTTGTTACGTGTTGTATTTGTTGCTGATGGACAATGGATGGCAATGATATTGAAATGGCTTTGGACGAGTTTGACTCGAATTCTGACCTTTCAGATTTTGAATTCTCTGGAAGTGAGTACGTACCTTCGTCTATAGATTCTGAAGATACTAATATAGATTTCGATGAAATTACACCCCAAAATGTAAATATTTCCCACTCATTGGATGTTAAACTATCTGAAACGGTTGTTGATCCTGTTGACATACCTCAAGACAATGATCAACCACTACAAAATAGTTCCCCAGTGTTTCAACGTCCATCCGATGTCGTCCATGAGTGGGGAAACTGTACGGAGACAATTAGACGATTTCCTTTCAATGGGACATCTGGCCTACAAATAAATTTGAATGCTTTTGACCCTATGACTATTTACGAACAGTTCCTAACGGACGAAGTTATTGATCTAATTGTTATGGAAACAAATAGATTTGCCGAACAGTTTTTATCTAAAAATGAAGTGGGTAGAAGATCGTTGATGTACGGATGGCAAAACTGTGACAGAAATGAAATGAGGCGTTTCCTTGGCATAGTAATGCTAATGGGTATGTGTCCCTTGCCTAACATAAGGCTTTACTGGTCTAACAAAAAAATGTTCAAAAATGACGTTATTAAAAGTGTCATGTCCAGAAATAGATTTTAATGTATTTTGAAATGCCTCCACTTCCACGACAATGATGTTGTTGATACCTCTGAACCTCGGCTTTTTAAAATAAAGGAATTGTCTAATTTATTGAACACATGCTTCCAAAGTGTATATATTCCGGGAGAAAATATTGTTATTGACGAATCAATGATACCATGGAGAGGAAGGCTCGTATTTCGACAATATAATCCTCAAAAATCTCATAAATATGGAATCAAATTATACAAAATATGTACAACGTTTGGGTACACCCATAAGGTTAAAATTTATGCAGGAAAAAGTGATAGCACGGCTAATGGTTGGACATGCACAAAAAATTGTCTTGCATTTGATGAGTGATTTAGTGAATAGTGGCAGAACTCTGTATTGTGATAATTTTTATAACAGTGTTCCTCTTGCCAAAGAGCTATTGGATAAAAAAACTTATATTTGTGGTACTCTAAGAAAATATCGCAGAGGTAATCCAAAAGATTTGTGTTCAAGTAAATTGAAGAAAGGTGAAGTAAACGCTCAGGAAAATCAATTCGGTGTAAAAGTGATTATCTGGAAAGATAAACGAAATGTTTTGATGGCAAGTACTCGTTCGGAAGACGGTAAAAACCTTTTACCAACAGGACGGCGTAATCGTAACGGAGAACGTATATTCAAACCTTCAGCTGTACTTGCCTACAATTCTGCGAAGAAAGGAGTCGATTATTCGGACCAAATGTCAGCCTACTACACAGCATTGAGAAAAAGTACCAAATGGTATAAAAAAGTTGCATTCGAGCTTCTATTGGGTACAAGTGTTGTCAATGCTTTTGTAATTTTCAACGAGTTACGTGATAAGAAAATTGAAATGATTAATTTTAGAGAAGAAATTGTAAACCGGCTTTTGGCATCTGCAGCTGCACCTCAACAACTTTTGGTCACTGCATCCCGACAACATTTGCGAAAAAAATCCCAAAAGCACGAGTTAATGCAAAGACCAGGTCCAGCAAAAACTTCTAGAAAACGATGCTTGCCTTGCTATACGAAAATGAGCAATGAAAAAGGATCAAAAGAAGCAAGAAAAAATTCAAAACGCATTGTAACCTACTGTAATGGATGCGAGGAAAAGCCTACAATATAGTCTGCAGTATTTCAATGAAAAACACACATAAATTTCAATTTAATAATATTTTAATTTGGTAAATTTTTTCTTGACACTATTTTCTACACACATTGTTTTTTTTTTTATTATTCTATGTATTTCATTATAAACAAACACGTTTTGGTATTTAATAAAATTTTTTTAAAAAAGAAAACTTTTCTTAATTTTTTAAACTTTTCTTTATCAACAATAAAGGTTACTTAAGAAAAAAAAATATTATGTAGTAGTAAAAAATCTAACGTTTTCAAGGTTACTATAACGAATAGAATAATGGTCGTACTACACAAAACAAGGTCTGAAATATGGTCATTACTTAAAATGTGGTCATATAAACTCATGAAATGAGTGTGTCACGAGTGACACACGGTGACTATTTCTATCACAAGAGTGCGTCACTGGTGCCACACTATAAAACGGTTTGGAAAATGCAGCGTGCGTCACCAGTGACACACGTTGTTGTGGACGTGTTAAGTGTATTATTACTACAACTACTAACTACTAGTGCAGCGTTGCTCAACTAGAAGGTCGCGACCCCCAGGGGGGTCTCAAACACTTTGATTTGGGGTCACGTAGGTCAAAAATAATAAAACGCTGATTTACAAAATGTAAATTCAAATAAAATTTTTACCTAATATAGATGGAGGGGAGGTCACGAAGTGATTGACCATATTTTATACCTATTTTGGAGGTCACGACACTAAAAAGGCTGAGAAACAATGTACCAGTGCATTAAGTGTCAAGTTTTAGTGTATGTCTTGGTAAATTAAAATGCCGAAAATCTCCTACATTTTATAAACTACTACTTTTATTTGTTTTTTCAGTATTTAAAACATTTTTATGAAAAACAATATTTTTTCATAAAAGAATATTTTGATGAAATTATAGAGCAATATGAGGGTAACCGTCGTTTGATAATCATGGAACTGAGTAATGAGTTCCAAATCTCATTTGGATCAGTTCAAACCATAATGACGACTGATTTAGACATGAGAAGAGTTGCAGCCAAATGTGTCCCAAAACTGCTTTGTATCACGATAATGCACCCAACCAATTCAGGTCATGTTGAGCAGCAATTTTTGGTCAAACATGATATCCTAGTTGTTTTTCAACCCCTCTATTTACCAAACCTAGCTCCATGTGATTTTTTTTTTATTCCCAAAGATGCTACCAAAAAATAAATACCTAATTAGTAATTGATCTTCAGAGGCCGTGTTGGTAAAAGTGAAAAATATACAACGCTCAAGAGTTGGCGTTGTGCGCCTTATCGCCCCTGTCCCGACAGACCATAATCACGCCTATCGTCTACGCGACAAGATCCGCGCTTCATAATCGCGGGAGCGGTACATTATTATTTCACTGACGGTCGATCGGAACGTTTCACAAAAATGTAGTTGACCGTTGTCACCAGTGCTCGAATTGGAAATATAATAGAAGGGGTGCTAAAGAACTTATAAAAATTTAGCGTTCCACTCAATGATTTAAACCAAACTATCCCGTGGGGGGCTTTGCCCCCCACACCCCCCAAGTAATATTATTAACACCAATCAAACAATCATTAAAACTATACAAATTGTACACTACAACCTTATGGTACCTTACAAATATTATTGAATTACAAACAAATATTTTATTTTATTTAAAATACAATAGGTATATAATTATTTAAATTTTTAATACATTCCACAGCTCTGCATATGAATGGTTCTTTTCGTTATTTTGTCGCTTAGGGCAGTTAACTTCGTCAGCACATCGTTTGCCCTTTTGTATCCATGATAAAACATAGGGCTCAGGTACAAACATGTGCACTGGTGGCCCTACACAATTAATCAGAATTAGAAAAGAAATACTTTTTGGGTTCAAAGCATTTCTTTTAGTAGTAACTATATTGTTCATTGAACTGAAAGCTCTTTCGCATTCACTGGATGATATTGCTACAGTTTTAATTGCAGTTAATAATGGTCTCAAATCTAAAACAGTTGAACTGTCCTCGAGATCTTTAAATTCCCGAAATCCATTTATCGCTTCTTTTGTTTTAGGACCATAATTTTCAGTAATTGAATCGAAAACCATTATTATACGTTGAATACAACAATTTGCTTGAGTCAATGTATGACTTCTATTTTGAAGTGATGTAGACAAGTCAGCTAATTGACATAAGGCGTCATACATTATAACATACCTATAACATAACAGAAAAAAATTTAATTAAATTACATATTTAGATTATAATTAATTTAATTTAAATTCAAAATAAAAAATTTACTTACCAAGATTGGAGAAAAATTCAATTGACGCAAAATGTCTTTTAAGTCCCGAGTATTTCGTCTTTTCTTTTGAAGTTCTTAAACCATCATTAGCAGTAGTTGTGTAGTGTTGGTATAGTGCGGGAAAGTTGTTCCATACAGCTTTTATTGTACTTTCACTTGATGCAACCCATCATATGGTAAACATTTTTCCGATACGTAGTAAAAAATTATGTTCCATAGTTACAGCACACATAATGAAGCTTATTCATGTTTTTTGGTATACAGAGCATACAATTTTTCAATGAACAGTTGAAAATTATTAGTACCACTAACTTCTTTTAAGGTATTACCATTGATTATAAATAGTATAGATAGTATAATCTATAATATATAGATAGATAATAGATAGCTCACTGCAATACAAAATATGGTGCGCAGAAAATATTTCCGATAGAGGGCGATAAGGAATTTCATTTATAATAAATAATAATTAAGAGGACGTCGATGGTGTATTTTGAATGTATAAAACAAGCCACGGCTCTATGCTCACAACACAATGCACAGATACCGTAGAAACATGGTTTTAACTCCAATAGTAAGATCATGACTTATACTATGCTTCCTCGATGAGTTTTTTTAAAAAAAATGTTTTGGCTATTTTTTACGTGAAGTGAAAAAATATAAAAACTGACATTTTTAAGTTTGAATATTGGTTGATATATTAAATCAATCAAAAAAATCTCTTCGAGGAAGCATAGCTTGATATCTCTCCTTTCAACAGAATTAGACACATTCCTTCTAAGTAAATTATTGAAGGAGCTTTAACTATAGAGCGAATGATAGTTTTTTTTTAAATTTATAAAAATGTTTAAGCCAACAAGTGCTACGCCTATCAGCAAACGAAAGAACTGGTTTATTCGGGTCGGGTTACGGCAAACAGGGTACGGGGTATATATATAAATATATATATATATATTTGCAGACGGGCAGAACCCGTATAGTAGGCAAAATGGTTTATTATCTACTGTCTTGACTAATTGAAGAATTCCTAGTATACGATCGCTAATAATAATTTATACTATACAACTACTACAATAAGCAATAATGAGCTGTCCTATAATAAACAATTAGGTATTATACACACCGTGGTGGGAATAATATTATAAGATATGAAATATATGAATTATAATTTTATTGTCATTTGTTGTGATTGATTGAAAAATTGCAAACGTTTGGTGAAATTTGTTAGTACATTTTAATTTTCCATAAAGAAGTTGAACCTAAACGTCCTAAACACTGAAATATTATTTATTACAAGGAATGGTTCAAAAAATAAGTCGAACATATACTTCTGTTCGAAGTATGCACAAGTCGAAAAGTTTAGCATCTCGGATAAAAAAACTTAGTGCTATGAGAGGCTAAGTATAAATATATAATAAATAAGTATCTATATAATACAGTAAACTACTAAAGCAGTATCTAAAATTAAAAAATACTGGAAATTAATTTTGACTAATTAGTGTTTTTTTTTTGTTTTAGGCCAACTACTAATGTTAAATGACTAGGTATTTAGTAAGTCACGTATATTTATCTATTTACGGCATATTTAACAACTAAAAAATGTATAACATACAAAAAAAACACACAGCGTTGTAAAAATAATACATAATATATCATATCACTACGCTTAGAATCTAAAATATTTTTCGTACCAATACTTTTATAGCCAAAAAAAAAAAACAATTATTGGATGATTTAATAGACTTGGTAAACGATGAAGATGTACAAAATAATATACCGATATCAAATAATGATATACTAAATACTAACGAAATTGACATGTCTGGAATAAATATTCTTTACGACGAGAAAAGTCAAGGAAACTGCAGTACATCATTTTTCGATGAAAATTGTGTAGCCATTCCTTATGATAAACATTCAACTCCAGTTTCTAATTTTAAAAAGTATACCTATTTATACAATTCAAATTTAAGTATTATTTTAATAATTGTAAAATAATTTATATTATTCCTTATACGTATTAGGAGTGATTTTACTATAAATACTGGTGGAAGTAATAATAATGACAAGTTGTCTACTATTGACACACAAATTGATGAATTTACTAACACGTAAGTTAATCTCTCGACTTTATTTGACCTACCTAATATCAAAATTTAAAATATTAATTATGAAACCAATATTTGGAAAACTACAGTGAAACGTCTGATGAAATATCCGGCAAAAGAATCGTCAACGTATCTTACCTTTTTGAACAAATACAAAATACTTACAAGTATTTTAAATATGATAGGTTCATTTAGAGACTTACTTATAAATGAAGCCAAAAACTGTGATAAAACTACTGACAAGAGATATACAAAAGAAATTAAACAATTGGGATTAACTTTGAACTTTTATTCTCCTAAAGCATACAATTTTTGTCGATAACTAAATTCTTAGAAATAATTTTTTTTTTATAAAAATGGATATTTAATAGTAATTAAGTATTTTTTATGTCTAACATTAATTATTTTTAACATTTTTCATAGGTCAGTATTAAGTTTACCTCATCCATCATCATTGACTAATTGGATATCGTCTATTAATGCAGATCCTGGATTTTTCCGAGAAGTTTTTATGTTTATTAAAAAACGTATTTCTTCTGAAGATCTTGACTGTAATTTGGTGTTTGATGCAATGGCCATACATAAGTAACTTATTTATGATGCTAGTACAGAAAGGTTTTTAGGTTATTGTGATTTTGGTGATATTCAAGTAGAAGTACAAGAAATATTAGCTACTGAAGCACTTGAGTTTATGTTAGTATGGTTAAATGGCAAGTAGAAATTTCCTATTAGATATTTTATTCAAGCTAAAAGCACAGCAACAGTTCAAGGTGGGCTTGTTCAAACTGCCACAACTATGGCAAATGAAGCCGGTGTATGTGTATAATCGGTAACATGTGTTGGAACATCCACTAATCTGTCAACAATGACTCAATTAGGGTGTAAAATTAATGGCTTTTATTCTGAAATAGTAGAATTCTTTACTGTCCCAGGAATAGAAAAAAAGGTATTTAACTTGGATTTATACCCAAAGAAAAATCACATCAGTGTTTAAAATTATGTATAGGTGTGTTTTGTACCTGATGCAACATTAAGCTAGCTCAAAATGCATTTATCAACGTATAGACGTTTTAAATGTAATGATAATGTGATTGACTGGAAATATTTACAAAATCTACAAAAAATTAATTAATAATAATTTATAAAATATATAAATATATTAATGTATTTTTAATATATTATACATAAATACATGTTATAATAATATTTAAATAAATATTATTATCATAATTGATTTGTCATTAAACTATGATTCAGTTTTATAAATCTTTATAAATTCTTCAACTTGCTTTGCTTGCTTATATATTTAAAGCTCACGAAAATATTGGCTTAAATTTAGCTAATAAACTAACTGCTACACATATAGAATGGCAGAAAAATATTATGAAAATTAAGCTGGCTTGCCAGACTTTAAGCTCATCCATCGCTGATGCTTTAGAATTTTTGCAGAGTTTGAATGAATTTTATTTTAAGAACTGTAATTCTTAATTATAACTTTTAAATGTTAACCTAAATAATTTTAATCAATCATCATTATTTTAAATTTAGGTACAGAAACAATTAAATTTATCAGAACTGTGAATAGAATATTTGATTTCTTAAACACTCGAAATCCTAAAATGGTAAAGGTTATAAAAAACCTTTTTACAAAAATGAAATTGAAACTATGAAGAAAACTATTATACCATTAGTGATTACCAAGGCTCGGAACTTTAGGCATTTGCATATTTGTTTAGAAAGTGCATATTGAACTTCTGGTTCGATACAAATTTGATCCATGCTACGTATATTTCAAATATAAAAATTTTTGTTGCATAATTTTGCATATTTCGTCATTTTTTGTACGAATTAGCATATTTTACGTTTTAGAACATTTTTATGCATATTTCATAGATTTAACGAAAACAATTTTTTTTTTACATTTATACAATTTAATTATAGTTAACAAAATAAAATTAGATATTTTACAAAATAAATTTATCGAAAAATATGTCGTTAGATATTCTTATATTGCTCCCAATGCATTTAACAATAATATTATATAATCTCTAGTACTGAGAACTCGAAATAGTTACTGCCGACCGGCCGGCCCGTATTTATTTTTATCCAAATTTAACACGGCATTCATATATTTCATATATGAATCCTAGGAAATTTGTAAACAATTATGTTTAACCATTAGGTTGTTATCAGTATTTATACACCATATTAATTCTGTTCGTTGTAAATTAGTATTATTATTACAACTTGTAATACTACGGTCTACGTGCGTACCGGTTTCACTGTACAGTGCGAACTTCGAGTGCACATTAGTCAGTCGTCAGTATTAAGCCCGTCGGGTGTCGCAGTGATAATTTTATTTTTTTAATATTTCTGATTTAACGATACCTAAAGATAAGCAATCATTGTCACGACGCCTTAAATCTTTAAGCTCTGAGTTCGGTGAAGATGTATTCTCTATTGATAATGTAGTTCTATTTTGCAAACTTTGCGAAGTGAAAGTAGATCCCGAAAGACGATCTAGTATTACACAGCACATAAAAACAGAAAAACATCGTCGTGCTGTAGAACGTAAAATAAATCAAAAAACAGCCAACAGCCAACAGCTATTAACAAATCTAACGTCGAAAAAATCGACTTTTAATATGAATTTATGCAAAGCTTTTATATCAGCTAATATTCCGCTTAACAAGTTACAAAATACAGAGTTTCGTCAATTCTTACAGCTATACACACAAAAAGATGTCCCCACTGAATCGACACTTAGAAAGTTTTATCTTGATGATTGTTACGAGGAAATGATGAAAAACATAAGACAACGTGTGTTTTTAAAAAAAATTTGGATATCGATCGATGAAACGACTGACGCTGAGGGAAGACAAATTGCAAACGCCATAATAGGAACTCTAGAAGAAGATAGAGCAGGTGATATATTTTTATTAAATACCGACGCATTAGAAAAAACAAACCACTCTACCGTATGCAAATTTTTCGACAAATCGCTCAGTATTTTGTGGCCTGACGGAATCAAACACGATGACGTGTTATTATTTCTATCGGATGCGGCGCCTTATATGGTTAAGTGTGGGAAATCACTTAATGCGTTATATTCAAAAATGGTACATGTGACGTGCGCAGCGCATGGTCTCCATAGGACTGCTGAAGAGGTACGTGGACAATTTAGCACAATCGATAAAATTATATCGAATGTCAAAAAATTTTTTTAAAAAATCGCCATCGCGTGTTCAGATATTCAAGACACATGCCCCGAATATTCCCTTACCACCAGAGCCAGTTATCACACGCTGGGGCACGTGGCTAAATGCTAGCATTTATTACTGCGAATATTACAAACAAATTTGTGAAATTGTAGAAATGTTAGACTCAGAAGACGCTTTAAGTATAAAAATAGCAAAAAAAAATTTGGTAAAAACATGTGTCAAAAGTAATCTAGTATACATAAAATCAAATTTTAAAGTACTTTCAGATTCAATTTTAAAATTACAAAGAAAAAATATGCCTTTAGCTGAATCCTTAGATATTCTGGAAAAAGTTCAAGTTCAGTTACAAATGGCTCAGGGTTATGATGGGCAAAAAGTGTATAAGAAATTTGAAACGGTTTTAAACAAAAACAGCGGATTAAAAATACTAAAACAGATATCAAAAATAATTGGAGGAGAAAGTGACAACATGGATGATCTACATGAAGATCTTACCACAAATGATTTAAGTTTTTACAAGTTTGCTCCAATTACATCGGTTGATGTGGAGAGATCTTTCTCGATTTATAAAAATCTCTTGACGGACAATCGGAGATCATTTAAACTCGAGAACATAAAGAAACACCTCTTACTTCAGTGCAACACGGGTAAAAAATAACCTATCTAATTGTTTAAACATTTAATAATTCTAATTTTTTTT